TGATCAAGTTGATGAATGGCAAGACAAATGAAAATGTTACTGCTGACAAAATATGGTAAAATCTTATTAATCAGAAGAGGGAAGAGGTTTTTTTTTAGGTTGTAATTATTTGCTCACTATATTCGGACATTCAAGGCCACGTGCTTCAAAAATTATCGAAAATACTACTGATAATAGATACACACAATTGAAAAAAAAAAACGAAACGTTACTAAACATTGTAACAAAAGAGATAGAATATTTTTATAATATTGCTAAGGTCATAATAATTTTCGTACCTTTGTTTTCAAAATCGAGAACAGTTTTGCCTAACTTATACGTCACTAAATCAGAGAACAAAAAAAATGTACAAGAGGCTGTACCACGAAACTGAATGCATTATACAAAAGTGCGTTCGTTCGATATTCATAGCGTATTAACAAATGATCACAAATATATCGCACCAAGTAATAGCCGCAATGTATTACAAACATAAGGCATGCACTCGGTTGCATATTTGTTTTCTCGAAATTCATACAAATCCAAAATAATTGTTTTAAAAATAAATTATGCATCTTCTGATTAGAAAATCACTTGCCCTTGGAAGGAAACGTCCCTGTTTACCCGTTTACACTAATGGTGGTTTACAGTAATGGTGCTTTTGCAGTTTATAATGGCAAAATTATGCATTTTTCGGGTTTTGGACTGGTGTTACGTACACTTGCGGCGTCTATCTAGATATTATGTCTGTGATGGAGGCCCACTTATTTGGGTGAGTAACAAGGTGCTCATGTTGACACCACGACATAGACAGGCCCGACTTGCGTTTGCAAGAAAGTAATGAAAACTGAACAGAGGCGCAGTGGAAGTATGTACTTTTCTGGGAAGAAACTAAAATTAACAGACTATGGTCTGATGGTAAGCACTACGTACGCCGACCTAACAATCTGGCATTTAATCCAAAATATACGAAAAAGTCGGTGAAGCAAGGTGATGGAAACATTAAGATTTGAGCTTGCCTTTCTGGTTATGGCGTTGGACCTACTAGGCTGATGCAAAGTAATATGGACCAATACCAATAATACAAACACATCCTCGAAGAATGCATGCTACCGCACGCTGATGATAATCTCCCGGTAATTTGGACTTTCCAGTATGAAAATGAATGACCCATAACATACAGCCTAATCTTTTCGAAGATTCATCAACAGCCAACTGGTAACTGTGATGGACTGGCCACCAAACAACCTAGATCTTAATCCAGTAGAGCATCTTTGGCGACAAGTCAAAAAGAAATTGGTAAACAGATGGTGTAGTAACGTGAACGAATTGTACAGTCAAGAACACATCAAGCTTGACTCTTTGGACCGTTCTTATTGCAAGCGATATAGAGTTAAATTTAAGACCCTGTACGATGTCTTTTTAGAAGAGTGGAACTCTTTTTCACTTGAAAACTGCAAAAAGTTAAAAGTCTTTTTTTATTTATCATTAAGAAAACGTTGTTAAAAATTAAAATATACCACTTCTCAAATTATTCTGCCGCCGTTAATTCAAACGGCGTATGTGACATTTTTTCAAAACTTTTGTTATGCATACTGACGTGACCAGTAAAAAAAGCCGATCTTTTACTATTTTTTTTTTTTCTAGGTGGATAAGGTACAAAGTTACCGCAACCGAAATATTTACAGAGAAAAGTAAATATTTTTTTAATTTCGTTTCTTTAAATATTATTTTCTCGATTCTGAGTTTTTGTCACAAGCGCCCTTTCAACTTATGGCCGCCGTATTGAAATATTGTGAATACTACTGTCAAGTCCGTACCTCGTTCTTGTTTTTCCAGCCTCCATCCTAAATTCAGTTTTAATAAAATTAAAAATGGTACTGATTTTAATAGTATTTTTAAATTATTATTTTTATTCAATTTTGGATTTTGTTAGCCCCGAATGTGTACTATAGTAATATTTTTCCAGGACGGGTTATTATGTTTATTAAGAACATTTGAATATCAAAATGGTGCCGTATTATGAAGCGTTCTTATATCTATGACCACACTATATGTAAACACATATTACTATTTCTAGAACAAAATTAATAGGTTATTTGCGAATTAGTTGAAATAGATGAAATTGCGCAAAAAAAAAAAATCACATAAACTTTAAAGTTGCGACCAAAAGTATTGTGTGTTTTAAGCGTATAGTTACCTGAATATTACTAGTTAAAGGTATATCTCATGGTGAGTGCAAATAAAATGCATTATTTTAAATCCTTATGTATTATTATTGTAACAACTATAAAAATCAACATCATCAGATTAGTTTTTGCAGTAGGTAGAATAAACTTCTAGTTTATGAAATAAAAAAAGACTCATTTGCATTCTAAGAATACACGAAAATAGATCTTCAGTCAACTTAATACCTAGGTAAAAATAGGTAATAATTTGTTTTTTAGTTAATAATTACCATGTCTCTTCGATCTTACATGTTTAAGTCTACTTTTCTAGATATACTATAAAATTAAATAACAACTATATCGTCACTGGTAGCAATACTTATTAAAATACAATATGTGTGTAACCCATGTGTACTTATGTAGTAATTATTAGTATTATTTTTGTATCAAGGTTTAATTTATTTAGTATTGTACATAATAACTATTTTTTAATTATTTATTCTTCAGTAGTTTATTAGAAATGCATCACCACTTCTCAGTTTTTTGTAGTGACTAGTGGTTAACGGTATTAGTGACACAATCACTACATATTTACTATAAAAAAATTACATTTAAGTTTTTATTGTGTCTACTGTTTGTTGATCCAAATAATTAAAAAAAAAAAATACTAAGCAAAGTAAAATTTAAACAATAAATAGAAAAGTGAAGCAAAGTAATCAATTCTTCTTAATTTGCTTTAAACTGACATAAAAACGCTTATTGACTGTCATTCAAGATAATAAAGCAGGTAAATAAAACTATTTTCTAAAATTCAAAACGTAATAAATTGTCCAAAGTTTCAGATACACAAGAATCTTTAGAAAAACAATCGTCATGAACTTTTTTTTTGTAAGTAGGTCATCGCCTCTCAAACCTCTCAAACGTCTTTAAAAATAATAAAGTAAACAAAACTGTAAAAGTTACCAAGGTGTTCGGAAACAAAAAAATTTTCTAATAATTATCACAAAAATAATCTATAGTAGCAGATACGATCGAATCTACATATAGTAGCAGGTAGGTACAGTCACGAGCTCGTCAAGCTTGACACTTTGTACTTTGGACCATTCTTATCGTAAGCAGCATACAGTTGGATTTAAATCTTAAGAGTCAAGCTTGATGTGCTCTTGATCCTGTACGCAGCAGTAGTTAAGACCAAATTATGATAGAATTCATGTAGGCACAGATCATTAATATTCAGAAGAGAGATAAGATCTTTCTTTTTCTTCTGCTGCTTTAAGCAAGGGTCCAATGTAACATTTGTTTACATTTTCTATGCGAATGTGGTCATACTTTTTGTTTCTTTTCATATACGACATGGAAACGTAGTTAACATTATTGTAACTTTCTTTGTATTCCAATGTAGGGAATTCCATTGAGAAGAAATGTGTTGTTTGCTGATGGTAATACAGATTCTCAATTCAAACTCACTATAGAACATAAATTTATAGTTCCTGGACACACACACAAGGAAGTAGATTCTGATCACGCACTGATAGAACACGCTATAATGCGAACGTCTATGGCTGCTAACAGATTGACTGCATGTTAATACGTGAAGTCTTAATCAACTTCATGCAGCCGAGACCTCCATAAAATGCGAATGTATATGAGTATATCCCATCCAAGAGATTGGTATCAATTGGTACGAAGTGCATCTTATCAGTGCATTATATCTTATATCTAATAGTAAAAAGAAGTTTTCTGTTATGGAAATGAATGACGATGGCTTTTGTGATTTCGCTGAATTTTCTAAAAAGCATCTGCAGGTAAAGAAATTTAACTTGCGAGGTGAAAAGTTTGTGTGGTCAAATGCAAAATTTTGAAATATACCAAAGCTCAATTCCCAACATTCAAATACAAAGAAAGTTACAATAATATTACTTACGTTTCCATGTCGTATGCGAAAAGAAACAAAAAGTATGACCACCTTCGGATAGAAAATGTAAACAAATGTTACGTTGGCCTATAGCAGCAGAAAAAAAGAACGATATAGATTCTGATACTATAGAATCTGATCCTGTAGTGAAGAAAGATTATTATTATTGTGATAATTATTAGATAATTTTTTATTTCCAAACACTTTGGTTATTTTCAGTTTTGTTTACTTTATTATTTTTAAAGACCGTTTTTAAGGCAATTTAAAAAAAAAATTCAAATTTTTGACGATTGTTTTTCGAATCTTTTGGTCCTGAAACTTTGGACAATTTATTACGTTTTGAATTTTGAAAATAGATTTATTTTGTTTTTTTTTTTATTATAATTTAAAAATGCATGATATATTCGTTAGTTCTTTGATATTGTATCGTAATTATACACATTTCTTGAATTAATGCTGTTCTAGAAAAAAAATAAATTAAAACGCTTATTAAATCCCAATTGCATTGCAAACGTTAATTTGTAACTTATCGGTGCCAATATTCAATGACATAAAATTAATACGTACAAGGTCAAAAGCACGTCAAGCTTGACACTTAAGTCTGAAATCCAAGTCTATGCCGCTTATGATAAGAACGGTCCAAAGTACAAATTGTCAAGCTTGACGTGCTGTACATAAAATCGAATTTGTATTTATTTTAATTTAATTTATTTCCGTTGACAATTAAATTTGTCACTTCCGGTATGTAATCGGATAACGCGCGCGTATTTTCAAAATAGGAATGAAAACAAATAACTTACTTCTGCTAATGCAAACTACAAGGCGCAACGAATGAATAATGTGACGCAATATCCTACAAGTTGATGAGCCGGTACTTATGATATTATGTAGTATTTATTATCGTTAATACATCATGACATAAAGTATAAAGTACTCACATTTTGACGTGTCTTCTAAAAACGATTGTCTTAAACTTCTTGATTTTGTCCTTTCGCATGCAATGATAATTAATTCGACGCAGAATGTCCTGGGTGTGTGTCAAATTATTCTCTACTTCGTTGTAATTATATGTGTACTGGTTGTTTGATGGTTTAGCGTACACGTTGCTCATGTTAGACACTTCTAGAACCTCTGTCCTATGATTCCGTAAGATGTTTAACTATATCAAATTCCGAAATTATGCTGGCGGAGGTCTTCAATGAATAAGACCGTGAAAGGGAAAAGAAACACAAATTCCAAGCCAGGATTACAGACTGTTTTGAACTGTTTTAGAAAACAGTGATAACTTGGTAAGACACAGACCTAGTTATTTAATGCAAAAATATAAAGTTAATAATGCGAATAATTATACTTTTGTACGGTTATACGTTACAATTTTCCTTACGTCTTCTTTTAACTTTTAATAAGCACAAAGCTTAAATAAAAGACGAATCAATGTGACTACACTGAGCTCACAAACTACCAGATGTAAACGAGCTTTAGACGAAGATAGAATCTGAACTGAACTTGCCGATCCGGAAGTTTTATGTACGGCTGACGCAATAATTGCGTTCCGTTCTACAACGCTTATGTACAACTGATTACATTTCGGTAATAATTTAGAGAATGTGGATATTTATGAATTTGGAAATCAGTTTGAAAGCAGTTACAATAGTTTATTTATAGACAATTGTTTATCTATTTCACATACTATTCACAAAAAGAAACCATAAATTCACGAACAAGAATATAATCTGCATGAAACGTAAAGAAATTACCAATGTGACGTAGAAGGCAATTAAGGTAAAACGTATGTTCCATCTTTGTTCTTCCTGTGAGGTTTTCATATCACTATCCTTTTCTATTTCGCTCTACATTTAACAAAATAATAAAATTTTCCTTGTTTACAATAAGTTTCCCGCTTTGTTGTTGCATTTCCGTTTACTTACTTTGTTTATTTACCTAAATTGTTTCATTTTATCATTTTAAGAGGTTATGTTATTGTCCTTTTCATCCTTGGATGACGCAACATTTGCGAAGATGAAATAATAGAGACGGGAGGCGCTACGTCGATCAAAACAACGTAGCTTGAACTGACGCGACGTTTCTATAATAATATAACGTTTGTGTCCATGACTCATATAATGAACTCGTATTATTTGAGCACTCATTATTTTCGGGCTTGTTGCACTATAAAAAGTCTGAATAATGAGAAAAAATCACGTAGATATTATTTTGTACTTACTTTTGTAATTTACGATAGTTAGATACCTACTGACATACTAACGTAACAGTAATTTATTAAGATTTAGCAAATTTAAAGTAAAAACAAAATATATAGGTAGATAATAAAATCAGCAGAGAACTCTACGCCAACTGTATATCATCATAGTTTATTTCAATTTTCGTCATTCCATTTTAAACAGCTCATCTCACGTCCACGCTGGCTCTGAAAGAGGAGACATCACAAATAGACATAGCAACTGGCAGGTGCACAATAATCACAGTATTTATATGTAGATATCACAACGCTGGTGGCGGTAAGAACACTGGATGTTCCTTTTCTTCCTGAACCGTCTTCTGTTAGGGCTTTCCCTCTTCGAAGACAACTAAAAAAAAATAATTTAGTGACCCTAATTCACCATTGGGGTTGGTTGTCATGCGCGATATCTTAACAACCTATGCCAATTTTATCCATTTCTGCCCTTATCTTTCTTAGAATGATAAATTGAAGGAGCTTAGGTATATTTGTTTCTCTTTGTGATATGACCGAGCCGTTCCAATTTTTTTCAGAATGGTCCAGTACTTCAGGGGATTTCCTAGCCCTTTAGCTTTCTGTTTTTCGTTGAGATATTTTAAGATCTATCGGTATACCTACTCGTATTGTGAGCAACGGAATCAGAAAGATAGAGTCATTCTGGGAGGCAAACCCGCATTAAGTGTCTTGTGCATGATTTTAGAACAAAGTCAGCAATTAAGTATACTATAGATAATACATTATACATAATACCATATACAATTGGCGATCCGATTCCTACGAATAAAATATTTACAGTCTCGAGCTAATAATAGCAAGAAAAAAAACAAGAAGGAACGGAAATAATAGCATACCGATCTCAATTAGATATTTGGCAAACATTTTGTAATACTGAAAATAATGTACCTATTTGCAAACAATAATATTACATGCCTGTATTACGACAATGAACGCTGCTTTTTTGCCCGTTCAAAATGATTCAACTATTTTGAGGTTTAGCCTGTACACGAGACTAACGCGTTACAAACAGGAAAATGATGCAAAAAAATCTTGGCTCAAGGTTCAACTACACTACACGTCGACAGATACATATAAACATTGTGTACACAAAGAACTCCGACTAGTTAAAAACCAGACAGATAACGTTAAAATTACAAGTTTATATTGAATTTTCGAAGTAGATGGGTACATACGCGTAAAGTTCCTGGGTTTAAATTCATTAAAAAACTAGGTAGGTAAGTTTACCCAGGTTTATATTATGTTATTTTTGTTCAGAGTTACGCTGGAATTAATCAAGATTTGGAATGCTTTGTCTATAATCCCAGTTCCTCCCATGAGTTCGTTTCAAGTTAAATAGTAGGTACGCAGGGTTTTACGAGATATTGTTAGTGAAAGAAGAGAATTGGCACCATTCCATAATAAAAATAAAACTTGTCTTATAAAACGCAATTTCAATAATAAGTTTTGTTAGTGGTTCTATCAACCGAAAGATATAAAAACAATGTCGTGAATTTTATGAAGTACCCTTGGATTGTTTAAATTGTGAGGTGCATGAGTCCATATAATTTTCTTTTTTGTTGTAGTCCTAGTTTTCAAGAATTTAATAAGGTATATGTATTTAAGATTGCTACCTGCTGAATAAAATATGAAATTATAAGTGTGCAATTCTTACTGGGCCATTTCCAATTATGTAATCGTTTACAAGAAACCATTATACTTATCACATGGATTTAGTAGTAGTAGAGCTCCTTGTGAAGCGTTCATACAGGAAAGAACTACCACCGTACCTATTTCAGCTGCCATGCAGTAGGTAATGCTACATTACTGCGTTCTGGTATTGAAGAGCAAGTGTCGTTCTGAAATTACAGGCACTTAGAACTTGTCAACTTAAGTCTGACGGTGACGAGCGCAGTGGTATAGCACCTCGTATTTTTGTGATTTAAAGTTTTGAGTGACATTGCAACTGTTATGGACAGGCGCGTTGCTTACAATCAGACGCATGACTTGTTTTTCCCGTCACTTGGTAAACTATATTTTCATTGATTTCCAATCACGTACTGAGAAATATATAAATGACTAACACCTAACAAATGACATCTAGTTCCTGTTACATGTCACAGTACGGTGCCGCATGCCATCTCGTCGTAAACTCGCGATTAGACATACATTTAATTACTTTACGAACTCTAAGAATGTCATCAAATTTTTGTAGCGACAAGCACATGGTGTTAAATAATGTTAAATATAGATATTATTGCACTGCCATGCACCTAAAACTATTTACATAGATAAGTAGAATACGTTTATTGTCTAACCACAAATACACACAACACTATAAAACAATAAAATAAGTAAAAGAGAAACAAAATTAAAATTAACAACAAAAGAAACAAACAAAAACAAAAAAGAACTAAATTACATATACATAGTAAATAGTTAGTACCTACTTATATAATAATAAATTATTAGTTAAATAGTAATAGCCAAATGTGACACCGTTCAATGCAAATCCGAAAAAGGCTTTCGTGGATATAGCACCGCGGTCAACAGCAAAAACAAACAATAGCGTAGTACAACTTTTGAGTAGGTAGGTACGTAGTAATGAAATATCTTCCCATAAATGTTTTTTTAAATAAACCTAGATTTAAGAAACCTCTTTGGAGTTGGAATATTGTTCCAACATCATATTTGGAGAAACGCTAATAATATAGCAAATGCGAGAAAAAGAGAAATAAGAGCGGATATCCTGAGCCTGCTATTGGGATAATTCTTCCACCACTCATCCTGGAACGCATTGGTGCTGTTTTAAGGTAAACATATAGGTACGAACACAGTATAGATCAACCCACGTGTATTCTGCACAACAAAGAACTTTATCCATTTAGTAATCTGTGCCTTAGCATCAGTAACAAGAATACAATCTAACTACCTAGAAAAAACAAATAAAAGTGTAACTATTAGCGTAGTCTGCACGCTACTACGTAACTATTAGCCTAGTCTGTACGGTTTATAGAAGTCATATTCTTGATCTTGATTGATGTTGATTCTCTATGTATGAGTTTTGGCATCTATTACGTACCATATCCCCTGATACATCTACGCAGCGCTTAATGAATTTTAAAATTTATCTAGTTTCTTTGATTTTCTTTTTGTTTGCTTTCCCAGGACATTGATCTCTCAAATATCGCTCGCTACCTATGACTCAATCTCTGGGTATTATGTACATACAACGCAACACCCAAAATAAATAGGAGATAAAAGGCATCTCGCAATTATTTTACATACATTACCTACTTATGTATTTATCAAAGCTGATGCTTAGCATGGGCCTTGTGCACTGAAGTAGTCGGCATGGCAGTGGTTACAATCATAATCATGAGTATATTAGGATCATGACTAGCCAAGGAGGAAAAAATTTATAGACCTATAATACCCACAATACTATAGATAGATAGACCTCATCTAATGGCGCATTTACAACATGTTGTCAGGCGACCTTTGATTGCCTGCTGAAGGCTTAAGCCTCCCGGTGTAAATAGTGCGTCGTCAGACGATGGTAGTTTGCAGCCGAAGTCGACCGAAGCGCACCCACTTGCCTTCGGCAAGGCGAAGTAGTCTGTCGAAGGCGGCAGACGACTCTGTGTAAATGGCGAGTCGATTGCACCGTCTTCATCAGGCGATGTAATCTAGGTACCGAAGGTCAGCAGACGGCCCGGTGTAAATGCGCTATAAGCGTGGCAACATAGAGAATGCCCCGTCTGCAGCGGTGGTGGCGACGACACAGCAAGCTCCGTTAGTAACAGCTAAAATTGTTAAAAAGCGGGTCACGAAAATTTGTAAATTTTTACTGTTGAAACCATAGATTTAGGATTTTTTCGCTACGCTATATATCTATGGTTGAAACCTTAGTGAATATACATATTATGTCCGATTTTTCCATCCGATAGTCTGATCCGACTACCGGAAGGCGCACTCAATACACGTTCGATCCGATTATCGGGACGTGACGTCACGTCCGAGTTGGAAATAGCATCCGATTATAAAATCGGATTTTTTTTTCCAACAGACAATCGGATCGGTAATAATACCGATCCGATTGTGTGAAGGCGCGCTCTCTATACTTTTGCCGGGAGACGAAATACACGTCCAATTCTTCCCTCCGATTTGCAGCGTTGCCAATGCAAATTATTCAAAATCCCCAAAAATCAAGGTTATTTTGGGGAGAGCAAAGGTCATATTTCCCACATGTAATAATATTTATTCATTCTCAGTATTTATTATATTATTTAAACGTAACAATATACGCTTAAAAATATATCAAATAATTAAGAAAGTCAAAATGTGCCCATCTATACATATACCGTTATGCTATAATAAATAAACTCAACAAGCTTAACGAGTAGCAAGTTGTGGTATTAAGGTCTATTCACACATATCCGGGACGTGGACGGGCCGTACTCCGTCAGGGGCTCAAAAAAATATCGTTGCGTATATTTTGTATGAACTCGTTCACACATGTCCGCAGTTCATACAAACTAGCATGCCCCGTCCACGTCCCGGGCACGGCCGTGATGTGTGTGGATAGTTCTTTAAAATACCTACTGTTCGGCTTTGTTCGGCAACAGCTGTATTTTTTTCACACCGGGTACCGGTCAAAACGCAAGGAAAACGGACGGAACCATCAGACACGAAATCGAACGTGTATTCCCGCGCTTTTTCAACTGAACAACTCGTTTGGGGATTTTCGAAGATTTTTTTAGTAGAGTTCGACTACGGCCTAAAGAATACGACCTAAGGAATACGACCCTAAAGGTCGTATTCCAGACTGTGCTCACTGCAATACTCAAGTCAGGACTTGAGTATTGCAGTGAGCACTGAAAATCATACTCAAGTCCTTGCCATTAGGGTCGTATTTCCTTAAAATCGGACGTGTATTTCGTCTCCCGGCAAAAGTATAGAGAGCGCGCCTTCAGACAATCGGACCGGTAATAAAATCGGTTGCTATTTCCGAGTCGGACGTGTTGTCCCGTCCGATCCGATGATCGGATCGTACGTGTATTGAGTGTTCATATAATTATATAGTACGAGCGCGTTCCGGTAGTCGGTCTGACTATCGGATGGAAAAGTCAGACGTGTATTCCCGCACGAAATCGGACGTGTATTCCCGCGCTTAAGCCGACATGGTGCTAGAATTTTAGCATGATTTCAGGAAATAGCTATAATTAATAGATTGGCTTTTTTGTGTAGGATTTTAACGGCTTTGACATATGCCATCAGCCTATGAAAGCATTATCGCCCTCCTAACGGAAAAAGGCACAACTTTGCGTACTTTAAACAGCAGTTGTGCCTTTTTTCGTTCAGACTAAAAGAGACATTAACAGCATGTTACAAACGTTTTCTGCCGTCTTTTTTTGACTTTTGAAAAACTGTTATTGCTATCCTGTTGTCATTGAAAATTATGACGATAGTGTAGTATCATTTTCGTACCAGCAAATATGAGAGAACAAGATAGTGATATATTAATTTTAGAGCGCCATTTCTGTCGTATTTCCTCTATGAACAAAAAACGTTAACAAAAGTTTAAACTTTTATGGCGATAAAAAATTTTGCACTTTTGCATCTTCTTGTCGTGTTTTTTCGTCGATAAAAGGGTATCTATTTCACGAAAATTTCAATAAAAATTGAATTTGTGTTTGTAAACAGTGTTTAATTATTTTAAGTGAACGTGCAACAATTGTTTCGGTGTTGAGACGAGTTTGAGAAGGATAGGTTTAACTGAAATTGCGCGATGTCGGTTCATTTTGTGGATAAAATATCGAGTTTTTTGTAAACATCTGCTGAGCTTCTCATAGGTACGTAGTAGGAATAATGGTGTGAAGTGTGACTTGCTGCCCTATTAGGATCTATTTTGACGACCTTGAATAATTAAAAAGGTTTGTCTATTGCTGTGACGGTAAAGCTTTTGAATATTCGGTTTGCCCATCCGAAATTTACATTGCAACGTTTATCTACTAGCTTACCACAATATAATCTGTTCATGACGTCTTCAGTTTATTCTGCCTGATCTTAGATAAGCTAATTAACCATAAAATACATAGGATTGGACAAATAAATGAATGTATTTTAACACAGTTCTCTAAATATTTCAGTACCTGTATGATCGTTATTTCAATCTAACCAAACATGCAATTGTAATTGTTATAATAGGCAAAGTTTAGGCTATAACTTGTGTATGCAGTTTCATTCTGTGCTTGGTTAAGCATTGATGGAATAGAATGCACCTAAAATCAATTCTGGGATGTAACATTTAACAGGAAAATTGTGGGATGTTTATTCTGAATGCATAAGGCCTTCTATTGTAAGACCGTTACATATAATATATATCCTTACAGTGAAAGGTCTGAACAGAAGAAATATTTTATATATCTTGTGTCTACATTTTAAATTTTTATTGAATTGATATTGTGTCTACATTTTTCGTTTAATGTCCATGGTATGTTAATTTTGTACTTGTGCCTGGGCTTATTTCTAAGAAATAAATAAATAATTGAGGAGCTTCAGAACAAAAACCAATAAATCCAAAAGATTTCCATTCTAATTTTGTTTAGTCTCATTGAATGTATTTGACGCCTTGTATTCAGATCCATGCATTTGAAAATATTTTTAAAGAAGATTAGCGTTTTCTGTTCAAGTTGGATAAATTTTATTATTCATAGTAACGTCCAAAAATCTCAATCATCTGAATCACAAAAAAAATCCATTTGGCATTGATAAGGAAAAACAATAAAAAAAAGTGTATAAAAGTACTTGCCAGCACAGACTACCCAGAAGCATTTCAAATTCTTTTTATAATATCAAGTGATGGGAGGAACAAGTCATGTGCCTGATGGTAAGCTACACACCTGTCCATAACAGTTCCAGTGCCACTTAGAGCTTTAAATCGCAAAGATCTGAGGGGCACTGCCACTGTGCCCTGAGACATAAGTTGACAAGTCCCATGTGCCTGCAATTTCATCAGCACCCTTACCCTTCTAAACCGGAATGCAGTAATGCTAACATTACTGCTTGACGGCAGAAATAGGTATGGTGCCAGTACTTCTCTGGGTGAACTCTTTCACAAGGAGCTCTACTGCAGCTATAATGAAAATTAAATGGGTTATTCAAGTGTTGAAAACCCAACATTTTTAATATTGATAAGACTACTATAATACTATTTAATATTTATTAATATTTCAGGATTGCTATAACAAAATGACATTAATAGAAGGTGTGGGTGATGAAGTAGTGCAATTTGTAGCTGTGGTATTGATCATTCTGGTAGCAGCCTTAGCTTGGTGGTCCACTAATGCCAACCCAGATCGCTACAGGACTGTTCTTGTTATGAGATCCCGTGCTCATCATCCTGTCACTGTCAGCATTAGAACTAGTGAGTTTTTAATATTGTCTGCATTTATTCAAAATCTTACTCATTTTATATTGACATGCAACAGCACATACCAGGGCACTAAGTCAGAAATAATTACTTCATTTTCAATAATTTTTTTGTAGGTTTTAAAGGCTTATGTGCACAGCTCCAATTTCTCCTAGGGTACTTACACCACTATCAACATAATTTCAGTACAGAGTACTAAAAAAACCGAACTCAAAAGTCATTCATCCTCTTGTTGGCCACCCTTAGAGGTGGAATATTTTCTTCAAATTTAAATGGGACCACATCCATGGTACTCTCTTTCCAACAAACAAAGAATCATCAAAATCGGTTCACAAATGCGGTTATCGCGTAACATATATACAAAAAAACACACAGTCGAATTTATAATCTCCTCCTTTTTTTGAACTCTGTTAAAAATAGTACCATAAAATGTCTTCAGTTAAGCATCCTCAAAAACTGTGTTATGTATATGCATATTATATTTAGATATGGTTTAAATGTATGTATAATCTTAATAATTATATAAATGAAAATACTCAGTTCTTTAAAAAAATTTACTCTGTATTTGCATAAACAATGTGATGCAGTTTCTATATTCAAGTGTGTGACCCGAATCATTCACACATAAATTGATAGTGAATGTTCAATTGACGAAGAATTCCTCCCGGATGTGGCTCATCATCTCTAGAGGGTTGCAATTCTCGCGCCGATTGCGCCAATGAGCTCAATAAATTGATTTGTTCAAATTGATATAACCAGTTGCATGAGTTGCAAGCCAAAGTCATTCAAATTGCATTAGTTCAGTAAGTGACCTCATAGTGTTTAGTCGTGTCCTGTGTACCACTCCTAAAATACGTAAGGCTGTTGTTATGTTCTTTTGATAGAGTTTATGGCACATTTCAAACTCTTCTCTGAACTAAAATACAATTAACCAATTTTATCAAACAATTGCAACCTCAAATTCCATGTAATTTTGACTGCCTCAGTGGTCGAACGGTTATCATGCCGGACTGCCACACAGAGGTCCCAGGTTCGATTCCCAGGCCGGGAGAAATGTTTGTATGGCTTACATTTATTTCTCTCGTGAGTTTGGGTGTAATTTGTGGTTGTCTACGTGTGTGTCCATGGCACCCGCGACACAGGGTTTCCCTAGTGCGGGGCTATGTTGAGTGTGTGCGTTATTATAAAAAAAAAAAAAAAAAAAAAAAAAATTATATTTTTTGTAATTATATTCAGTGAATGTCAACAAAGGTATGAATGAGGTCAATTCTATTTCATTGAAGCATCTAATATGAAGATTACTAATTACATTGTTTTTAACATATTGTGTTGTTTCAGGGTCCAATTTGATGATAACAAGTACACAAAACATACAAGCTTCTCCATCAGGTATCATAGGTATGTGGTCTATAGATAATTTAAATTTAATGACTCTACTATTTATCTACAGTGCAAGATGCATTATGATATCAAAATAACTTTCAATTAAGTGTTGTGGTTGATTGCCTAAAACTTATTCACTAAGGAGATTCTCATCTATTTATTTTGTAACTTTAAAGTTATTGTATGTAGAGTTAAGATTTTAGACATCCTACTTGATCGTCACCATTTTTGCTAATGTATAACTTTAATACAAGTTATAAATCTACTGCCACTGCTGAAAAGATGTTGTTACATCAGTATGTAATAACATTGTCTGACTACTGATTAGAACTGCTTCTAATTAACTAATTTAGAACATGCCAGTGAATTTAGTAACTAGATTGGTTGATTCTAACAATTAACTGTTTCTCATAAATCGTCATGAACTCTATGATAAGCTGTTTGAAGTGCATGGTTTTTCTTTATCATTGATCAAAATTGCAATCGTTTTTAGTGAAGTAATCGCCTATAGTGAGTTTAGCTATATAGAGATTTTGAATACACTACACTACACGTTCAACTTTACTCTATATTTCAAATGATGATTTAAAAAATATACTTTGTGACCACAAATTTATGTATCTGTCGGTCACATGTTCTTTTTATTTAATTCTAGACATTATTAGACTATGATAAATTAACCCTTTAGGGGGAATCTTGCCCACCAGCGGGACGTTAGGATTTGATGTAGTGCACTATCAAAATGTGATATGATGTATGATATTACACTAATTACTAAACATACAACAACAAAATATATTGTTTTATATTAGGTAATTATTTTGAGTTCTTTCCGAAATTCAGTTCATTTCAAATCTAGCGCGGCGTAGGCTCCTGTGTTGAAAAACCTATAGTATAAAAGTCTACACTTCGTTCGGAACGTAGGGATGTCACATAATTAATTTAAGTTTTACCTACAGATTGCAAACATAATTTGAAAAAATTAAGGTGTCCATCACAGTATTCTCGTGTTGTACTGGAATAACCTATACAGTACTTACGTAATTATATTTTTATACCAGAGTTGCGGGTTGGTGTCTTTTTTATGGGAGAATGTTATTATGAAATACAAATGAAATGCTAAACAATTCTGAATTTGAGGCGCGTTGGTTCAAACAACAATAAACACGTTTACTATTTGATATCATTTAAACACCGGGCGAACGTTTCAATTCTATAACGGATGGCGCCTGCGACAACCCGTGTTATGCAACGCGATTGCACCGCGAGTTTATGCGAATGTGTGCGTCCATGCACGGCGCGCGGCGAGCAGGCACACATACAAGCCGCGCTACGTTTACAGAGTTACCATTATGTGTCTTATATACTATGATAATAGTATCTGTACTAATATTGATAGATAGTGAAAAGATAATGAATGTTTCTTAAAGGTCAAAGTGTAGCGAAATGGCTTTTCTAAGGCTGATTTTATAATGAAACTTCTTAAATAAAATAAATTGAGCTCAAACGAAGTCCCATGCGGCGTTCAGTATATTTATAAAAATGTTTACTTATCCACAAAAAAGGTGGCAACGCAAGTGAGTCGACAGACGAGGCTCATAGAGAGCACGCGCGCGTGATACCGCTCCAAGAGATGGACAGCATCGTGGACGCTGATATGGCAATGTTAGATAACAACCGTCTGCATTTCTATAGGAGGATTGATTGTGAGTCACATCTTAAAGTTAAAACGCACTACGACTACACTACAGCAGAACGGCACGGCACTTCAAATGTTAATTCCATTCTTGTTCCGTCTCAAAAAGACATTATATTATAGTACCGTTTAAAGCCGGAGCGGCCAAGTTGCCTCTTGGAGAATAAATGACCGCATCGTGCAGCGCCGCTGCCGCTAATGCAATATAGCGAGATAATCGACTCACTTCGCGTTCGGCAGTCGGTGCAGAAGGATATCATAGAGTTCGACGAAGATATATGAATAAATTATTTTTTGTCGCGATCTGGTGATATAAATATTATGATTTGGAACCTAAACAATATACGTAACCATCAGTTTTTTTTGTTCCTAATGTTCTGTGTAAACGTGTATCTTAAAATGTGGAGGTATATAATTTATAGAATTATCCTTTCCTTAGAATAATATTCCATGTCAAACCAATTCATTTGAAAGCGATCTGGGTTTCTAAAAGCATTGGGAATATAGTATGATACTCTCCTTCATAGTGCGAATTATTAACAATATGAAATCAGATATTTTCTTTTTACCTACTTAACATCACAGTAAAAGTTCGGCAATCAATTCTTCGTCGAATTTCTTCATTAAGTTAAGGGGGCGATCGAACAATTGATCCAAAAATAGCTGCAAAGTGTCGCACAGTGCCGTTGCAGTTGTAGTACTTTTTGCTGATGCTGTGTAGTTTTAGTGCGTTTTAACCTATTATTGTAATGGTCAAATACTAGCACTTAAGAGCGGGCGAAAAAGGTAACCGCTATGTACAGGCAAGGGGTTTGAAAAATTAAACTCAAAATGTATGCAGCTTAGGTGAAATTTACAATGTTTTATCCATGTCCCAATATTACAATTTAAAATAATGTCATGAAAATTAAATTTCATAAGGATGAGTGAATTATGAGGAGGCCACGATGGAAAGTTTTTAGGTCTATTTTCGTTTGTTTATCCAACCACTTTGGCCCGGAAAAACCGATTTTTAACTTTATTCACTTTGACAGTGACCCAGTTCTACATATTATAAGTCTAAACGTTGCAGCCCCAAACACCATCCAGACGGTGTTAGAATCACCAAACGAGGAGAACGAAAATCAAGAAGAGACCGAACCGGCCAGTAACGATCAGATTCGTGAAATGGACAGCATTGTTAGCGCCATGGAGGCTGATGTACCCACTACCTGTGACTTGTTCTCACGACCTAGTATTGGTAAGTTGTAAGTGGTAAGCAAGAAAAAACGATCACATAAAAGGTTTAGATGTCTACGACGATGTCTGAGATGCTAAATTGCTATCAATTCAGTCCTAAAAGTTGTTCACAGAATGCTATTTCAAAAAAGAATTTTCAGGAAAATACTCTTTTAGTTTCTTAAAATAGCTATTGTTGAAAATAAAACCTTTGTGAAACAAGTAAGGTTTAATGTAAACCCTGGTTTGGTGTGTTTTAGCGAAAACAAAAAAAATGGACTACTCATGGTAATCTTGGTGCAATTTATATGACACAAAAATAAAACTTTGATGAACTTTGCAGAAGCCAATACATCATCATCAGCAGAAAAAGATAAAACTGAAAGTAAAAATTCATCCACTTCGCCGGATAAGGAGGAAAATGATGTTGTGACGTCAGACGCGGGGCAGGGTACCAGCGCCGACGCAGAGGGAGACGGGGACCGAAGGAAGATTCTAATCAAGCTCAAGTACTTGAACGATACGTTGAAGGAGGTCGAGGGGAGCCTAGACGAGATGTTAAAGGATTTTAAATGGTAATTGCTATTTGTGAAGCAACTGCATTGTGAGAATGATATTTTATAAAAAATCACTTTTTAAATCCAGACGAATTTCAGTTCAGTTTTACAATATGGTAAACATTTTACAATCAATTCCTGTACAGGAAAGTGGGACCTTGTAGAAGTGTGGATATTTTTGGTTAGTTTGATCATTGAATTCATGCTGACCATATCCATGTAAATGGTGTTATAGTCTGGCACTGAAATATTTAATTACTCTATGAGTGGTAGAGTTTTCTGTCTGTGCAGGACCTTAGTGCGTTGGTATAGCCCCAAATATTTCTGAAACAAAGCAGTATTCCTATTTCCTTGATTCAATGAGTAGAGACTGATTTTAAATCATTATGCCTTGCTTGCTATGCTATATTTCTCTTCGAACTTATATCTTGGTAAATAGCAATGGTAACCACTTTCAATAAGGTGGACCGTATTGACAGTATGCTTGTTTGAATACCACTAAAATATGTTCGTAGGCGGCATTTTTCCACGGAACTGTCAGCGGAATGCCGCGTGAGGCTGATCTTCAACGGGCGCCCTCTGGCGGACGACTCAGCCACTTTACGCGCCTGCGGTCTGCACCACCGCGCCGTCGTACATTGCCTTGTGCACCCCAAATCTAATCAGAACAATCAGGTACATTTATAATTTGATTTTAATTGTATTATATTAATGTATATTAAGTTAAGTTCATGTATTTTTTTTTGTATTTAGGTATTTTCTTTAAAGACAGTGATTATCAAATAAATAAATAAGATAGATAGATAATAAATAAATAAAAAATATTTCTCAATTTCGTACAACAATGCTTGTATTGGGAAAATATCGCCACTTCCCTGAGCTTAAAACTGAAAACTTACAAGAAATCAGTGGGTTATTTAAAATAATAATGTAATGGCCGTATTAATGACAGGTGCAAGTTTAAGTAAATTAGTGTAACACTTTCATTGTCTTGGGTCCACATATATATTGTAATCATTTGGTCCCTTTCTACTTGGTCACGTTCGGGGCTCACAGATAAAAATCATGCCTTACAAACTTCCACGGAAGAAAAAAAAATTAATTCTTAAACCTCGATTATTATCAAAACAGCTGTCGCCAAAACTCACATTATCATAATGTTAAACACTATGAAATCTTGATGATTGGTCGTCGTTTCTTATTCAGAAAGATGTAACAAATTCTCAACTGTTAATATTAAATCAAATTTTACCCTGTTGGCATATCAATCCCTCAATAAAAAAATATCATTGAAAGTTTAATTATTGCAAGTTACGACGTTTTGATTTTATATTGAAATTTCATTCAATGTTCTGCATCTAGCGGCATTCGCTGTTAGACGACGAACGATTATAAAGCTATTAACGTCTATTAACGTCCTCCGAAAAAAAATCGACCATATTGCAGCGCTATAAGGATTACTTTCGTTTCTTATAACAAGAAATGTATTACGGTAAATAAGACAATGGAAAATTTATTAAAATTAAATAAAATAAGACATGACGATGATATGAAACACGACTATGAATAGGTGCGACTATCATTTTTGCACTCGAAAGTAGCAAAATGAGGCATTTTTCCACGATATTCGAGGTTTTACGCGAGATAATTCGCACGACCATAACGTACAAGCGAAAATGGCGGATTGAGCTCAAGTTTGTGGAACTCCGCGTACTTTTGGTACACGTGCTAAGTGCACTAAGCACTTCTAATGTTTTTACTGTTCTGTGCAAACTTCGATTCGTGATCGGAAGTCTTGAAGTATTTGTTGAAGGAACGTGTAAATAACTTTAAAATATTGCAACAAAAGGTAATATGATGATTTCTAAAGTGGTCTAAATCAACCCCCAAGGGTCCTCTCCAATTTACAAGGTTTACGTTACGTTTTACTTACGTGGACCCCCATTAGGTCTCATATACCACATGAGACGCTAATGGGGATCCACGAGAGTGAAGAACGAGATATTGAAGCTGTATTCAGTTACATAAATGTATAAAACTTAATGTGTTTTTTATACAGTTCACTATTCAGTTAAACTTATCAATTTGCGTAAGTAGTACTGTGTCAGCTGCCAAAAACACAATGTGAAGTTGATGAATTTGTAAAAAAATCCATTACAAAAGTAGGTCTACAGAAAGCAGAAAAAATTTGCACGTAATCTACGATACAAGAAAGTTTGGAAACCTCTGGGCTAATTATAATCAGGAGTTAGAAAACCAAAATTATGATTATAGCAAAGTTTACTATTATTAGTTTTATAATGTGATTGTGTGTTACAAAAGCAATTTTTTTTAAATTGCCCATTTAACTTCTGTTTACCCCATTCGACGTTAATGTGATATGCAGCCGCAGAACGGACCGGAGGAGGGCATGGGAGTGACTCACGAGCTGATCACGGAGGGCGCCCCTCCCGAGCGCGCCTGGGACCTCGAGAATATTCTCATGACTTTGGTCTCCGTCGCCCTTACCGTCGTCTGGTTCTTCAGGTTAGTCACACCATAATGCAGTTCCCTACCACACAGATAGTAATTTTTATTTCTACTCTATTGGCTTTTTTTTATAAATTATAAGTGCGTATTTGACCTCCATCTCACCCGATGGAAAGTAACGATGAGGTCGACGATGGAACATACACACCTAAATAATGTTTATTCACTCTCGCCTTGAAAAGGCCCAAGTTATAACGTTCAGCGAATAAGTCTGCAGGCAGTGAATTGCACTCCGTAGCCGTTCGCCATATAAATGTGGAAGCATAACGCTTCGTGCGAATCTTTGGAATATCCTCAGCATAGGGGTGGAGAACCCAAGCCTACCCCGGTGATGGAAAGGGGAAATGGAAATTCCAATGCACACTCTCCGCTTTAAGCGTTATAGTTTACTTGCTTGTGAACATTCATGTAAACAATTTTTACATATATATTTTTATATTAAATTATAATATTTTGATGGTAAGATATACGCTGACACGTCATAAAATTACTTGGAAATCCAAAAAGATTAAAACTAGTTCATTTATAAGCTTTATAAATTAAAATCAATATTTTTTTTAATCTACATACATACTCGTATACGTCGACCTCCGTGGTCGACTGGCTTGCACACCGGTTTTCATGGTATCGCCATATCTGAGGTCCCGGGTTCGATCCCCGACCGGGTCAATGTAGAAATTAGTAGAAGAGCTCCTTGTGAAAGAGTTCGTCCAGGGTAGTACTACCTTACCTTTCCTATTTCTGCCGCTAAAGCAGTAATGTCAGCATTACTGTGTTCCGGTTTCGAAGGGTAAGAAGGGTGCTGGCGAAATTACAGGCACATGAGACTTGTCAACTGACGTCTCAAGGTGACGGGCACAGTGGCAGTCCCGCTCAAATCTTTGCGATTTAAAGCTCTGATTGGTACTGCAACTGTTATGGACAGGCGTGTAGCTTACCATCAGGCGCACGACTTTTTCTTACCTTCACTTGATATTATATTAAAAAAAAAACTAACTTTTCTGTATTGTTGGTCTGGGTGTTTGTGGTATCGTCGTTGTTTCAGATTTCCATAACACAAGTGCTTTGGTTACTTATTTGGGATTAGAGCAACGTATGTGATGTTGTCTAATATTTATTTATTTATCTGTATACATTACCCACATTGCGTATATACGTCATGAACCTCTGGGGACAGTGAACATGTGGCTTGCAATACTTTTGTTATTGGTGTCGTTCCCAGATGCGAATACTCGAACATGTTCACGGCGAGCGCCAGCGTGGCCCTGTTCGGCCTGACGGTATTCTACAGCGTGGCGATCTTCGGCCTCTACCTGTCGGACACATTCCACTTCGAGCGCCGTGCCGCCCCTGTGCCTGCGCAGGACCCGCCCGTGCCTAACAACTAAACTCGCTATGGCTGACAACAGGTTTACTACAATGCCATTTGCAGTCGGTTACTTACGAATTATACCTGAAAAATCCCGACTAGAAATATAAAACCGCTCGTGAATTGACATCTTCAACACGAATTATCGTGTTGAAATGTCAAGTTTGACGAAATTTTCTTCACATAGTTCGACTGATTCGTAATGTAATGTTGTGATGTAATAAATGCATTGCACGACACATTTTCGGCAAAATTATTGCTAGTTACTTTCATTCGTGTCGTTATTTACAGGATGGTTTGGGACGGGTCAACACGTCAATACCTTGATCGTCAGGAAAATGGTCCTAGAAAACTGTCCATGAAGTTGGAAAATATTTCAGTTAGCTTTAACAGATTTTGAAATGATACCAGTCAGCAAAAATAATATGTTAGTTTTTTGCAGTTGTTGACATTTCATACCTAGACTTTTGATCCTTACCAGAAACAGGATCTAATGGCATTACAAAAAATTCGTAAAAATTGTCTTTGATTTGCTGATTATACCATTTTTTTTTCATAATCCGATAAAACCAAATGAAGAAAATTCATAGACAGTCTTCTAGATCCGTTTTCTCTACTTAAATAAATAATAGTAAAGGTTAAGGCTTATTGAAGCTGCCCTTGCTGACTTGTCTTAAATTTCCACCCAGTATAACTGGTGAGATTTTTTCAGTGTAAGCCATTCACATCAAGTGGAGATCTACTGTTTTTTGCCTTCGAGTTTTTCTTTTTCGCTTTGATGGCTAAAGGGCGATTAGTTGTATATTCATACATGCGGTATTATCAGTGACCACTTACTGCTGACCTTGTCGTTCTATTGCTGCCCGTGAACTCCTGTATCTCCCCAAGGGGAGCGGGGAAGTACTGTATTTAAACATATAATTTCCCAACGTGATGTTACGTTATACTATTTGTTGATAAACACAGCATTTTACAGTTCAACTTTGGTAGATTATGGTTTAACTTTTCTTTCGAACACTACGTCGTCAGTGATAGATTGACAGGTTAAGTAACCGACTCTATATTGAAACAGCTAAGGGATTTGTTAGTATAATCAGTTAAAATGTAATCAATGCCAAAGTCATGTTTGATATGTCGAGGCAAAATTACAAACCCCTTCATTCGATATGTATAATGATAAGCTGAGCCAACGTGGGTGCTAACATAATCTAAAGTGTTTAAATGTAGCAGTAGAGCTCCTTGTGAAAGAGTTCATCCAGGATGGTACTGTCACCTTACCTATTTCTGCCACCAAGCAGTAATGTCAGTATTACTGTGTTCCAGTTTTGAAGGGTAAGGGTGTTGGAGAAATTACAGGCAAATGGGACTGGTCAACTTATGTCTCAGGGTGAGGGGCGCAGTGGCAGTGCGCCTCAGATCTTTGCGATTTAAAGCTCAAAGTGACACTGCAACTGTTATGAATCATGTCCCGTCACTTAATGATTAGAAAAAAAAATGTATTAAATATTTGTCGTATATTAGGCATGAAAATGCTATCAATGTGTAGTTAACCAATATAAGCGATCTACTGTATAGAAGAAAAATTCTTACGTTAGCATTTGCGTTGGCTTCTATAGCTAAAGGTATGACGTAAGAGCGGCAAATACATAGCAGTTTTAACTTTACTGGTACTTCTAAAAACTAGCAAACAAAGAAGATAGCCGAATGTATGTTTTTAGTATAAAGCCGCTCGATTCATACCAAAATTTGTAGCAAGAATACATACTGATAATCTTATATAATTTTAGTACTGTTCAATATTCGGAAATTAAGTAGGCGAGTGAAGCATATAAAAGAAATGTATCCTATGCATCTATTAGTGAAATTGGCTGAACGTAACGTAGAGAGAATATGTGATAGTCTGATTGTAATATAGATATCTTGTGATGCTTAGGCTTGGACAGTTGATCTGAAGTTTAATATTTATTTTATTTGTACGTTATATAGCTTGCACAAAGACAACAAGGCGAGACTTTAATACAGCGAACCCATCCACCCAGAGAAATACCATTTCTTAGTGTGTTGAGTTTCATGGTCTCAGTAAAGATGTAAATAAATTAGTTTTACGATGTTTTATATTTATTTAGACGTAAGCGCGGATATTTCAAGTTTCTATCAAACATCTCAACATACCAATGCTAAGTTAAGAATTGTCATTATTACTTCTTTTTCTGTAACTAGTATGATTGAGTCTAGCAAGATGGCTTTCAAAATTTTTGTCATTGATCATATTTAACAAATAATTAATTTCTACGCTAATAAACTATTTTCATTGTTATTTACTTTTTAAGGTTATAGAGTTATTAAAATTCTGAAATTATATTTTGCTTTTATTTAAAATTACAAAAATGTTTTAATTTTGCGCCAATGATAATGCTATTTACAACACAGAAAATCGTACTTGCCGGTACCACAAAAACAAGACCCCCGCAACTGCGCCAACACTGCTTCGATTTGTTAAAATATGGATATTATAGGTGTGTGTGGTATAGCGTCAAGAGCACGTCAAGCTAAACACTTGGGATTGAAATCAAACTCTATGACACTTGGGATTGAAATCAAACTCTATGCCGCTTACGATAAGAACGGTCCAGTGTTAAAAGCTTGACGTGCTCTTGACTGTACCTGTTTAGATTTAATTAAGAGAGCTTTATTTCGGTGTGACCGTAACTAATCCTGTAAAGTCATTCAGTCGTGTCCGTCAGGATGGCTTGACCAAACGAGATATACAAATCAAACTACTCATTATTTTACTATCTATTTCCGCTTATTCCCAGTCGTCACCATTGGATTTATTCCCACTAGCGACAAATGGAAAAAAAATCTCGTATGTTACTAGGTGGTGACAAACGGGATAAACAAATCCCAGCTGTTGCCAGTGGTGATTTCTACTGGCGACAAACGGAAAAAAAATCGCATATGTTACCAGGTAGCGACAAACAGGATAAAAAGATCTGTTGTTGCTAGCGGGAACAAAGCCAGTGGTGACATCTGGGAATAAACCCCTATTTCCTACCATTTAGTACCTTTATTGACATTTTTTCTACGTTTACGCTAACGGAAATAAAAGTGGCCAGTCATTCCCAACTTCAGGTTGGCTGAATCACTTTAAGTTTTCCGTGGTTCTAGCAGTATATAATTTACTTTTTTTATATAACTATTTACTACCCAATTTGTACCTAAACATAGTTTTTTTTCATTATTTTAGGAAGCTTCTATAAACTTATTTAAAAAAAAATAAAACGCCTGCAAAAGGTGAGGTATGAGGTACCTGTTGGGATCTATCTGGTTTACAAAAAACTAATATTTAAAAGTTAGCGTATTAGTATATTTGTTTAGTCATAATCATAATATACAATGTACCTACACTTCTGTTTCAAAATGCCACTGATGTTTACCTGTAAAAGAAAAAAAGGACTAATTAAAGTAATGATATAACAGGCTATTGCACACAACATCAAATTTTCATAAAATGTGTCTTGCCGGATTGAGGATAAGTCGAAAATTGAAGTATCAACCACCTCACCTAGACAAGACTTAATTTATCCAAATTCAAGTTCTCATTAATATGAAATTGTGTTAACAAGTGTATGCAAAAGAATTTGGATTAACGTTATAAAGAAACTAACATGAAATTTACCTTTGACTTTGAAGTACACTGCATGAAGGTGCCAAAGTGATATTCTGTTAACAATGAGAATAGAATTGAAGATATTTTTGATAAATTTTGTACATTCTAAGCTTAGTGCAAATTGTTCAGCCATCCAAGGAAGTTTTAAATGCGTGGTAATCAGGGTTGCGCATTTCATAAAGCATTGTATCATCATGTTAAAATAATTGATTTACTTAATATGAAATAAACACATTGTGTAATCACCTTAATAAGGACCTGCTATCTAGAACAGCACCTGTAAAAATCATCGCAGTTTAAATCAATTATAATCAAAACACACAAATACTGAGGTACTTTACAGTACTTACATTGCAATTCCAAAAGAAGGGATTTCATATAAGATATTAAATAATAGAATAAATTTGGGATCATGTTTAATTAAAATCCACTGGCTTTCCATCTGACAATCAAGTAAAGCAAATAGAAAGTCACTGGGTTGATGAAGTAAGTGTCTATCGCTTGCGGCGCAGTTGCAATGTATTGCGGCGGATCCAGGCAGCGCGACGAGAGCCTCCCTTGGTTTGTGAGTAGCGGTGACCCTTGCCAAGACCACGCGAACTGCGGCCGGCCGATGTCAGACCACGCATCTCGCGATGCTTGTGCACAGCGTTCACTATCCAGTTGATCTTGGGATCCCTGCGGATGGCCTGAAGAAAACGAACATTAAATATTAAGAGCCGCATGGGCATGAAATTAGAAATGTGATGGTTATTTATTTTATCAGAAAAATTGGTAGGTGATTGTTCAGCACAAACACTCAGATTGGTGCATGACATAAAAAGTTCATCATTTACAAACCTAAACAAGTTTAATAAGTTGCAAATTATGCTGAGAAAATGCATAATTACCTTGTGAGAAGGATCAACAAGAATGACTTCAAAATATTTATAGGAAGAGTCCTGGGCGACCCAGTATGAGTTCAGCACTCTGAGGCCTCCACAACGGCGACCAACTCGTTCCTAGAAAAATTAAAAAACATATTAGAATCAATGATTTTAAGCTAATAATTTCCAGTGTATGTCTTGCATGCTCATAACAACTTTTAAGAATTTAAGAAATCTTTATAGAACTCAATTAAAAAAAAAACTTGTGAAAAGAAAAATTAAGACACTATACCTATAGGTGTGTCATCCGAATAGAACAGTGATGTTTCCAATCCTAACTGCTATTAGGTGATTAAAGTTAATGTCCAAACTTACTTCAGCAATGGACTGCAGGTTGCGTGTAGGTTTCAGCTGGTTGACACCATGGCTCTTGGGTTTGCCATAGGTTGCGCCCTTGGCTACTGGGCGCTTGCGGCCACCGCGGCGCACACGGATTCTGAAAACAACGTAGCCTGAAACAGATACCACGTGTGCATATTATACATCGTGTGATGTCGATCTTATAGGTTAGGTTAACACAATAGTGAATTAAGCAATATTTACCTTGCTTTGCGCGGAATCCGAGCCTCCTAGCCTTGTCTGGCCTAGTCGGCCTGGGAGCGCGATGCATACGGGTCAACTGGCGATACTGCCATACCCTCACACGCAAAAGAAAACGCATAACGTCACTTAGTTTTTTGCGGTATAACTCTTGAATATATCTGTACGCGCCCATCTTGGAAAGCCTGTGGCAGACCTAGTAACAAAATCAACATACATTGATCAGAAGTCACATCATCGGTCTGGCCACAAATAGAGCAACTTGAGACCCATCACGAATAACATGCCGCTGTAATTAAAGTTTGAACTCAAATAGAAAAATATACTGACAATTAAGTGCTATACGCTTATTACAAGATTTATTTCACAAGTAACTACTCTTAATTATAAAGATAGCTATAATTTTTATAGATTTGAAATCTACATACGTCTCGCGTACTCCACAAGTAAACCGGAAAAGAAAATCTGTCAAATGAACTTGACACGAAACAGTACTGCCAACCAATGTTGCCGTCAGTGCTTAAATTATCTTTGGTTGCCGATGGTCGACGGCTATTGTGCTCAAAAATACATTAGATCCTAGTGTTGGGTCATGGAAAAATGTCCATTTGTTAGAAAATAAACATATTTTTCAGAAAAATAAATAATTTTCCGAATATTTTTCCTTTAATTTTCCACATTTCACGTTGAAATCTGTCAAAAGTTGAAGGTACTGAATGAAAATGATGGAGCCAGTAAAAAGGTTTTTTTCGTTGTGAAATCATATTAATAATTTTCCGTGGCTTTTATCTAATACAAGTTTATAGCGTAGAACATAATACGAGCCTTTGAAATTTATATTCTTCCATACAGAGTTGGCTACGTATTCCACAGACATCGCATTCTTCCAATTTTTAAAATTTTTCGAGTATTTCCATTATTTGAAACTTTTCGGAAAATTACTCAACGGAAATAATTTCTGATTGACTTGATCTTTTCAGCATTTCCTCGTCAGGCTTAGAATTAACTTAGCTCTATCCATGCTTTTGTGAAGACTGCTGCGTCAAAAGCTTCCTGTGAATGGAGTTTGTTAGTAATTTAATACAGTTTACCGGTTTTCGAATTTTGAACGAAAATAACGAACGAGCGGACACTTCTCGCCGCCATCTTGAAAACGCATTGTTGTCATGTTTACGTTGTGTTTTTGTGAAAGGTGAAATTAAAAGATTTTTATGCTGATTATGTCGTACAATTCAATGAAAATTGTGTAAATTATAAGTTAGAAATCATAGTAATCTCTGCACGCCAAAATTACTGCGTTAAATTTTTCTGGAGTGTTTCAAAGTCGCCGAAACAGATTAGGCGCCAAATTGCTCAGAGGCGTTACATATATTAACTCTAATGTTCCCGTAAAAAGCTTTGCTTTTAGTATTGTGGACTTTGTTGTGGACTGTACATAAGATTGCAAAGTAACCGTTTTGTTACTTTACACGTCCTTAATTGAATTACAGGATAAAGTTGATGTAACTGGTGGTTGAAGTTAGTCAGGAATCACCATGTTTTACGCACATTTTGTGCTGGCCAAGAAGGGTCCGCTGGCCAAAATTTGGCTGGCGGCCCATTGGGACAAGAAACTGACAAAGGCCCATGTATTCGAGACTAACATTGAACAATCTGTGGATGGTATCCTAAAGCCAAAAGTGAAAATGGCGCTGCGGACGTCTGGTCACCTTCTGCTTGGTGTTGTGAGAATTTATTCGAGAAAGGCGAAGTATCTACTGCAAGATTGTAATGAAGCTTTCGTGAAAATAAAGGTTTGTTTACTATTCTGTAATTGGATATGGAATAACAAAAATTAACTTGATAACTTGTGGATTCCATATTTTTCTTGTGCCATGCGATTATATAGTAACATTAAGCAAACTCTTCGATAACCCTACAAATATTTTTGTCAAATGAAACATAACATTTCAACATTCTTGTTTCTTGTAGATGGCCTTCAGACCTGGCATGGTAGATTTACCGGAAGAGCATAGAGAGGCAGCTATGAATGCTATCACTTTGCCAGAGGTCTTCCACGACTTTGATACAGCAATGCCCGAGTTGAAGTAAGTTTATTGAGTTCTATTTTTTGGATCTAATTATCTTTTAAGGATTAGCAACAACCATGACATGTAAAAAGCTTGCAAAGTTTGTTGGGAAAACCAAATGTGTGCAATTTGAAGTAATTTTTTTTGAAACGGGTTACCACTCATAATTGTTTTTGAGCTTTACTTGTAACTTTGTATGAAAACGATGAACAGGAAATTGTTTAAAGGATATACAAAAGTGACTCCCTGTGTTTTAGATAGCAGCTTAATAGCTTTTGCTCCTCTACCAGCTAACTGATTGTGTAGTAAATACTCTATTTAAAGAGACCTATGTTGATTTGTGAATTATACTGTGATGGTACTCAAGTAATGTAAGACTACAATAACTAAATTTTTATCATTATTACAATATTATACTATCTTAACCCTGTCCTTAGATGGAACTCGGAGGGATGTCTTTTTAATCCACACTTCATCAACATCTCTGGCAACAAGATATTTTTTGAAATGATGTTTGCTTAGTAGCCTTGCCTCCCTTTATAGGTTTATGAGTGATAATTTCAGGACAAAGAACCAATGCTAGTAAGAAAACCAGTTAGGTTTACGTAGGTAGATTACAGTAAACTCAGCACTACATGGCATATATTACAATAGCATGGGAAAGACTCGATAAGCTCTTTCATCAGGAAGTGCTCCAATTCTCAATTAATACTGTTTATTTACAGTGAAGTGGACATTGAGGCTCAGTTCTCGTTAAACCAGTCTAGGGCTGAGGAGATCACAATGCGTGAAGACTATGGATCATTGAACTTGGTCACCCATGATGATGGATTTGGAGACATGGGATTTGATACTGACAACCCTGATATTATGCGAGAAGCTATTGACAATGAAGGGGGGTTGGAACAGGTAAGTTTCCAAATATATATTGTAATTATTATTTATTAATGTTACAAAAATAATCATAAACAATTGTCTCTAATCATAATCTCAACAAACACAGTCATACAATGGTTAGCACTGTGGGAGATTTTGAGCTTGATTCCCAAAAGACTAAGAGTTTTGGGATCCTTGAAATCGATATCACGAACAATGTCCACTTCCAGGGTCATTTGGAGAGCAAAGCGAAACTAGCTTCAAACAAGTTTTGTTGTAAAAATAGGAACATAAAGAAAGTATCTATACTTTTTGGTATTGAGTACTTTTCCTTCCAATACTTATACTTTTAATTCAATACTTTTTGACAAGTATCATATTGTATTGACTAATTCCTACTTAGGACATCTCATATCATAACGCAAGCCACCTTGCGATTTTTTTAAAATGGCAACCTTCATCATAAATAACTAGTCTGTATAGTGTATGCCATCATTTGCCTCTTTATAAGAATGAGAATGAAGAAAAATAGTTAGAAACATTTGAATTAATATACATACATGTTAAACATATACCTACATGTTGTGGAAACATTATATTTGAGTAATCACTGAAGTTTGTTCCTTCTTCAGAATATTTGTTATTAAAAGCAGGCAATACAATATCAAAAACGAGAAACTAACTGTTACCAAATAGATTTTTGTTTTTAAGTGATTATACAGAGGAGGAAATTTATGTAACACAAATTATATGAAATGACAATCGATTGAATTGATCAATTGATCAATTTAATCAGTCTTTTATTATTTTTTTCGATTAACAAACATAAAACCCATCAAAAACTTATTAATTCATGTGTAAAACTTATTAATGCAGCTCCTCTGATGTTGCAGATATCCATGGGCAACAATGGCCACCTTCTATTGCGTGTTTTGCCTGTTCTCTTGCCTCCTATTTTACATAAAAAAAAAGTCTAATTTGAGAAACAAACTTTTCTGAATTGGTTCTGGTTGGGTGTCATTGATCTGGTACTCCAGTACTAGGAATTCCCTAGTTTGAGACCAGGTGATTAGATGTGTATCACACATTAATATTACATTTTTTTTCTTGTAGTTTGTGTTTTAGTCAAAATAAAATAAGGTCTTTAAGTTGTTTATAATATATAATGTTATATTCAATGTATGTAATAATTAATGTTAAGTTTATTTAAGCATTTTATGTATTTACAAAAATTTTTGTATGGTTTTATAAGCTCGTGTTAAAGGTATTTGTACTAAACCGTCTTATTACACATATGAAATGAGAGATCAAGCCTTCCTTGCTTGATGAGCTGTTTTTGCGTGTCCTATAAAAGTGTCAGAATTATGTCTGTAATTCATCAAAGTTCATCTCAAAAACGAATTTCGATGATTTGTAAAGCCACTGCATTTGAAAAAAAAACCTTTTATAAAGAGTTTGAAGTAGAGCTAATAACTGTTACATCTATTTCAGAGTAACCTCCTGTTCGCGGAAGGGTCTTCCTTAGAACTTGGCGGAAAGGAAGCCGGTATGCCAAGTACGAGCGCGGCAGGAGTGCCGGCGTTGACCGCGCCGCCTCACGAGCGCCGCATGGAGGCCGCGCCACACGGGACAATAGACGATGGATTTGGCGGCACTATCACTGATGTACCGGATTTTGGACGTGAGTTCAATCTCGAATCTTAGCACAAAATATGACTATTAGTTATTACTATGGATTGATGACCGATGTTTGCGCGTCGCGTCCGACCAGCTAGTCTGGAAATCATCAGGGCAGGCCTATGTTCAACAGTGGACGTCTTCCGGCTGATATGATTATGATGATGATGATTGATGATGACAATTACAACACCACCACGCCCGAAAGTGTACATGTTGCCACGCCTAAGTTCTATCGTAATGTAAATTACATAATAATATGCAACATTGTTTTCTATCACAACAGCCAGTAATAGAGTATCTTTCTTGGCATAGACCTCTTCCAACTTTATTCTACTTCATAGGACTACTATCATAGTCTTAATAGGTCCTTGACCTCATCTTGATCCTCTGCATCTGAACTAGTGGAATCCTCTGATCCCTATGATGGGCGTCCACACCCACTCCTACAGCCCTTTTTCTGCCACTGCTTCATGCCCATATACATTCAATACAGGTTGCGGGTCTCATTGAAATTCTGTTACTGCTTCGTCATAGTCTATCTTCAGGCTGTCTAGACAACAAATACTGGATCTAAGTTAGTAACAAAACTTACCAACTGTAGTGCCGACCAACCAATGCACTCCCAGCAGACGCCTGATATTTCACATTCAGAATGTATGACTCCTGGACTGCCAGGCTAATTCCCTACTCTTAGGTATCATAACAGACTAAATTTGTTAATGCTGATATTACAAAACTAATACTAAATCGCGACAGCACTAGTGTGCTGTCTAGTTTAGCGATAACAAACCTATGGTTAGTACTGAGGTTTCTATCAACATGCAACAAATATCACTGAATTGGCATGTAATCACCTTGCACCTTTATTTGTGTGGTAATGAGACATTGATATAAGGAGCAAAGACGACAAAACACTCCACAACTAATACAATTTTTTAACCTCTCATATTATAAACATTAACTAAGTGTGTGTCAGTCTAGAGCAGTGGATCCAGACTTATTCAGTCATGGACCCCTTATCATAAGAACACGTTAATATGAAACCCCAAATACAACTACAATATGATAATAAATAAAATCTACTAAAAATACTTCATTCTGTACGCTCTGATGAGAAAATTAGGTAGATCAATAAATTATGTACACATTTAATTTTTTTTTAATTGTCAAAATATTTCCTGTAATCTATTAAGTGCGTGCCTGCTAAGCCGTGAGCGGTGCACGGCAAATCTACAAAGCTACAGATCAGATAGTTTATTAACCATTCAATGCTGTACTCAATTTAGTGAGTGGTAGAGCTCCATCAGGCGTAATAGAATTATTATGAATGAGAGTTACATGCTGCGCTACAATAAAAAATACTTACTAGAGCTTATTTTACTCATAGTTCTGTTCTGACCAATGTGTTATTGTCAAAAATATAGTTTTTCGTGACAAATAAGTGTAAACAATGAAGAATTATATTAAGTATTGTATATATTAGAATTAAATTAAAGTAGAGACAATATTTGAGTAAAAATATGGAATCTCAATGAAATAATTATAAAGAAATTCATAAGTAACCCAAGTTAATGTTGAACATCCGCGACGCGTCGTTTTGCTCAGCATCGCTTTTAAAATTTTTTAGTGAAATCTTTCGATCTTTTCCCCTACGATTATCCTTTCGCCCATCGAAATGTTTTTTGCTTACCACGAACCCTTTGGATCATCTCATAAACCCTCAGGAGTCCGTTTGAACCTTGGGAGTCTTGGGTCTTGCGTGTTCTATTTTTTTCAGGTATCATCTAGTTCAAAATTTTGTGCTGTATTTTAAAATGTAAATGATTGAAATGGTCTAGACGCTGGCGGTTTATTCGAGGGCGATCTGTTCGGTGATGTGACCGCGGGCAGCTCTGGAGCCGGTGCCTCCGCGATGCCTGGAACGTCTGCGCAGCCACAATCGTTACAGGTTAGTCTTCTAAAAATTTTCTTTACTCTTTAATGTATGAAAAACTATATTTCATTTATTTTCTTTAAGACTTGACAATCTTTTTATTCCCTAGAAAAAAATATTTGGCCTAGCAACTACAAAAAATAATGTAAGCATTGCAATCTTAGGCAGGGAAGTAAGTGATCACTTTGTTGGTATAATAAAATTATTTTGTACAGGCTGAGATCGCAGCAGCGGGTGTGGCTGCAGCAGCCGAGGAGGGTGACGCTGCGGCTGACGCACCAGACTCCGATGACGATATGGGCGACCACTACGATGCCGGCAATTCGCCGCAGCACAGGTATTGTAGCAAGCTAGTCACGTCTGTAATTAGACCAACAATCTTTGGAGTCAGTTACACTCTATGTACGTAGTTTTCGTAGCAAAATTTCTAATAGAAAATGTGTTTAGAAAAACACATTGCAATGTTGCTTGTCTTTTCGGTTTGAGATCAGGTAATTAAGTGGTTTTTTTATCCAGTTGGGGTGGCTCTCCTCCTCACGACCCTGGCTCTTCTCGGACGTTGGACGGGGCGGATCTTATGCCGCCACCCGCAGCTCCGCGACCGCCTTCAGTTAGACCTATGGTGAGAACTCGTTACAAAATATTTCGTTATTCATATTTTGAAGTGTTCTCGTAGTGCTCTTATGACAGTAGTTAAAAGTAACATGTTGAATGCAGGAGGTGGATGACATCGTTACTGGCCCGACGGAGATGGCGGCCGAGCCTCTGCCGCCTCCACCGGCCGATAATACGACGTTGCTGCAGAACGATGAAGAGTCCTTCGCTCTCGCGCCTGTCGACGCTACCGTCCTCAAAGGTAACAAACCTACAACTCTAATTCTTCCGACGATCTGTAAGGTACTGATGAAGTAGAACTGATCTCCTAATCCTTGTTATACTTTAAAATTAATTTTTAATACAGTTGCTCAAAACGTAGTATTTTTCGTACTACAAATCGTGCCGAAAGTTGGATTTTTCGCACTAGTGCTTTTTACTTATCCCTTTTTTTTTTTAATTTACTGTTGTTTCAAGTCTTAAACATAGAACTAAAGAGGTTGTATATTTATTTAATATTTTTGTGCCGTAAGTCATTTGTCATTAAAACTTATATTTACTTCCAAACGTATTATTTGTTTAAATTGCATAGGTGTTTTATAAAACAACGGGTTACTTTTAAAAATACCAAAATATTTTCCATAAAGTTGGCTGATTGAGTATTAGCAATGACCGGAGGGGAATATTACGCGAGACCGCTGCGTGCCGCGCCACTAAAATAGTAATTTAAATGTGGCTGAATACTAGCAACAGTTGCCATATTGAAAAAAGTCGGGCAAAAATTAGGTTTTTTTAAATACTGTTTTATTTAACTATAGCACAGATTACAGAATATACAGATACACAGTCCCATACAAGAAAATGAGTCCATGCTAAGTTTTTAGCTTCCGCTAGCTATTTTGATTCGTTTATGGTACACTAGATGGCGACTATAACGCAACGTCAAAGTAGGAGGTAGAAAGCTTATTACCCTGCATAGTAACTAGATGGCGTTTTCATTTAACACTAGCTAGATTGATTCGATGAATAGATTTAAACTTAGGCCTGTTGCGTCTTTAAAATTTACGTAGATACATACTTACGTAAAACCACATAGTAAGTTCTGTCACATATCGTGTACGGAAATAAAACCACGTTACTGGTTTTTACTAAACTATTGCTTTTTATTAAATAATGTATGTAAACGATATCAGTTGGGTACACTACCTATCTAGACGGTGTGTGACACAATATTTTACCCTTGTTCTTGAAGTCAAATATCTCAGTAAATTAAAGTTAGGAAGAAGATAATATTTTAGGGCATATATTATATAACAGAAATTTCATATGTTTTAGTACGTACCAATTGTATTATTTAGTTAACTTTTTAAAACATTAGAGTGAACTGTAGCACGCTCACACTCTCATAATGTCGTATTCCTCGTGGAAGAATGGCATAAGTAGAGTTACGTCGAACATGTTTATTGCTCCATTAAATACAGAAAAATATAAACCACATCCTCTCCAATTCTTGTAACTCTATCGACTAAACATTATAGATAGAGTTACAAGAATTGGAGAGAATGTAGGTTATATTTTTATGTATATAATAGAGCAAATAATGTTTTTGGCGTAACTCCACTTATGCCATTCTTCCATGAGTACTGCGATGTGAACTCTGTAGTTCAGTAAGAAATCCGTGGTATTATCAATGACTCTCGACATCACATGGCACTTCTGCCAGTCTCGGTATTTTCAAATTTACGTCTGTGACTATAGCGTGATCAAACAATTACAATTTACCCCTGGACTCGTAACAACTTCGTAATCAGATGGCAAGGTACTGGATATGTATGATAAGCTTGCGACGCCAACATTTTTTGACCTCTGATTTCGAATAGTTGCTAAGAGACCAGAGGTCAAAACATAAAATGGCAGGTCTGTGGACAAAGATTAGTGCATACTCCTGGATCGCCATGAGAAATGTGGGAATTGTGGACTTATTGAAAGAAAACATGTTCACTGCGCAACGGTTTTATTATCACTCTCATTACAAATTCAAATCATCTTTATTTCATAAGTAAGCAAATTACACTTGAAATCGTCGTACTGATTAAAGTCTACTGCTCATTCGTAAGGCAGAGTCCCCCGAGAAGAATGAGCAAGAAACTCTACTCTACTCTTTTAATATACATTTGAATACTTTTAACATTTACAATATTTATTTCAAACATCTTAGATTGAGACTACCAGCAAGAGCTTAACGGGTCACTACCACGGGTTCTTGTCATCCAAGTACGCAGACGCTGTACAATAAAGTAACCTTTGAAGCTTATACATTGCCCCTTAAATGAATTTATGACTTTGTAAAGAAAATTGTCAAGAATAGCTAGTTTATTTTTATTTCTCGTGTTAATGTTGTCTGTCACTATTTTGAATAAAAAAAATACTGTTCTATTAATATCGGCGTAAGTCAATGTCGGCAGCATTACCCCAATGCAAAATGCGGTATGTCATTAAACTGTGAAAGTAGATGAATTCAACCAATCTAGCTGTTTTGGCGTCTGATCTGGCAGATATAATATGCCACACCTCAAGAGCCTGGTCACCGCACTGGCTCGAGGACCATCGCCGAGTGCAGCAAGTTGACAATCAATAAGCGAAACCTTTTTTTAAATGTTCCCGAATGCGGGGCTCAACAATTCATCATTGATTTCCTTATTTATGTTGGAGAATTCTTAATTTGGCTCGTCCTTGAAATGATTTATTTCTTGATTTACAATAATCGTGAATTTTAACTACAAATAATTTGGTTATTAAAAAATCAATATGATTGTAATCATGGTAATCATCTGGGAGGTTTATAATGCACTTAGCACTTTTCATTAAATTTGCCACCAAATCAGTTTTGTGGATCATATTGATGCTGTTATTAAATAAATCAAGCATTTCATTTGCTAAGCAGTACAAAAAATCAGTTGGGGCTTTAAGTGTTGGTGTTGTCAAATTTGAATATGTTTTATTAATCAACAACAATTGCTTCTTATCAGCCAAATCAACTTCATTATTAATCAAAATTCTTTTACACATTGAGCAATCAAATTTATCTATTGTCACTTTGCCTAGCCAGCCAGCAAAATACACAACAGAACAAGTTTCCAGTGTTATTTCTTGGGGTATAACGGTTAGATTACCTTGAGATGTGTACGATTGAACCGGTGGGGAGGAAATAACGGGCAAGGCGACTGCACTTGATGGACCAGCAATTGGGTGTGTCAATGTCGACGATGATGACATTTCAGGTTGTGTATTTTGCAGTTGAGCTTCAGCTGTGTTTAAAAAGTGACTTTGATCAATTTCACAATTTGTATTATCTAATTTGATTAAATTATTTAGTAAATTTGATCGGAACATGGACCTTAAATTTTTTGATGTTGGATTCCTGTTACAACCACCTCGCATTCTATAAATTCCAAACAAATTTTCAATTACATCTTGATTTAATCGATTTGTCATAAGAAATTTGACTTCAGTGCCTTGTGAAAATTCCTCAGTGGCGAGCTGAAGTACAGCGTTAATTGATTGCTGTATGCCTTCAAAACAGGGAGGAAACGTCAATTTTTTCTAATTTTTTTTGGAAATCGTAACTTTTTTCAATTGATTGAACATTTCGTTTCCTTTACTTAACGTTTTATGAACTAAAGAATCTTTGTTTTCAGTGATTGCGCATTTAAATGGATTTCTATCAAATTTACATTTTGAATTTAATGAATCAAACAAATCATTCACATTTCTCACAAAATCAACTGTATTCTTTACGGTGTCACTCTTCAGCTCTCCACTGGCTATCGCCGTCTCCATCGCGGCCGCTACTGATCGACTAAATATTTGTGTGGCTAACTTAACTTTAATTTTTTGGAAACTGTTTGGCTTCAAGTGTACTGGGGTCAATTTTCCCAAAGATCGACTTTTATTACTTTTATCAATATTATAAACCTTGATTATGTCATCAAACGAAATTTCATTGCCATTTAAATCGTAATTATTATCAAGTAAATTGTTTCTTATATTTTTAATCAAATGAGGAACATCATAGATCGAAAATATTTTGCGATTCTCAATAAAAAAAAAGGATCATCTTTTGTTGCCCCCAAGGATTTGATTGCCTTGACGTTGGTTGTTGCTTGATCACATATAATTACTTTTGGCAATAATCCAATCACAAATAATTTATTAATTATGGATTTAATAATTATTATTAACTTTTCAGCAATGACATTCTGATTTGATAAGAAATATACCAGAGGGATTTTCCAATTAATGTAAATCCCTCTGGCAACAAACACCAGTGCATACTTAGCTTCCTTGGAGGAACGCTCACCACCACCAAAATCTTCAAATCCTTCAATCAAATCATATTTTTTTGTATATTCCAAATCAGTCTTGATACTCATTTCATCAAAACATACAGCACAGGCTTTTTCTTTAATTGGTTGATCAGCAAATTTCATTTGAATATTACGAAAAACATCTTCATTAATACCTGCCAGACAATCTGTAGCTTAGAGCCAATTTTGGATTGTAGTGGGAGCAGCTAGGACCAGGCCTCCTTTTAAAAGATATTTATATGTAGCTGGAGACTTATAATATAAAGATAAGCAAAAATTTTTTTCATCTTCATTCCATTGTCTACTTTTATTTTTAAATTGCATGCATGTAAACACTTTCGCCAAATCTCCTTTAAATTTATGTGTTTTTAAGTTGACACAATTTTTTTTCAGTAAATTCTTTTTTAGCCTATTATATTTATTTTTTTGTTTTTTTAATAATTTACTTGAATTTTTTATACTAATTTTTAATTTTTTACACCTTGGTGTATCATTATCAACTGAAGTCCTTTTTCTTCTTCTAGGTGTACTAAAATCTACTGTGGTTTCACTAGGTGACTTGGGTTGAAGCCTTTCTTTTATCATTTTGTTGCTATATAACTTTTTAGGAGTCATTACTTTCAGAGGTGACGAAGTTTGCACTAAAACAGAAAAATAAATCAAACACATTTACTCACTAACTTAACCCACTAGTCTCGGAATAATAACAATGCCTAAATAAAGTATAAATTTTAATATAAGTTAAAATTTTATGAATATGAAAACTTTAGCAGATACCATGGAGAGTGTGCAATGGAATGGCACAATTTAATTTTTCCCTTTCCATCACGGGGGACTAGACATAGGCTTAGGTTCCACACATTCGTTGTGGATATTCCAAAGATTGACACAAAGCGTTACAATTCCACATTTATATAGCGAATGGCTATGGAGTGGAATACCCTTCCCAGAAACTTGTACCCTGAACATTATAACTTGTGCCTTTTGAAGGCGAGAGTGAATTGGCATTATTTAGGTGTGCATGCACTTGCCATCAGGTGAGATAGAGGTCAAATACGCACTTACATATTTATATTAAAAAAAACAATGTATTAAAAATGGTTCATTATCAAATTAATATGTTCATTTTACTTTTGATAGTAACAACAGAAGAAGGCTTTGCTAAAATTCAAGTTATGCGCTGATGCGATGATGATCATCAAGTTATGCGCTGATGATGGAATGATTTCCATCCCATGTAACATCATTTATTATTGAAGTTTCAAGTGAAGTAGAATACAAATTATTTATGTATAAGAATACATATAACTTTTTTATGAATTTTTTTTTCTCAAGTAATTCATCATCATCATGTTCACTCAAGTAATACAGTGTTGGTACTGAAACCAAAAGGTTTACCTTTTGATGTTGATGGAACTGGTGAATGTGACCTGCTGCAACATTCATCATCTTTATAGTGCAAAGGTATTGCAAATTTCGACAGCCTCTTTCTTTGTCCACTTTCATTTTGGATATATTTTTTGTCGAAATGCTCACTACAGAGGTATCTGTTACGGAGTATATTTTCATTGTAATTCATTATGGTCATGTTACCTAAAACAAAAATTAATTCATTATAATGAAATAATAAAATTAAATAAATCTGAAAACCTACATTGAAACCTGCTTTTCAACACTTTTCAATTACATATTTAGCTGGTACATGATATAGAAAGACTTACCGCAATAATTTATCCAAACTTTTAAACGGGCTGGATCGCTTATTGGGAACCGAAACATGGATCTTTGTTTGAATGTGTAATTGCACATAAAATACGAACATTTGACCGGTGACATTTTGTTTTGTTTAAATCGAAAATCAACGAAACCCAGATGATGTTGCAACCGAGATCAGTAAAGTTTTCCGTAGCCAAGTCGTCGTGTATGGTAGATTCGTCAGAGTCCAGATTTCAAAGCAAAATCGTAGTGTATGGGAGATTCGTCGGAGTCCAGATTTCAAGCACTAGTCGTATTTAATTACTTAATAGCATTTAAAATATCCGTGTCAATTCGCAAAATTTCGCTTCCAAAACAAACAAACAAGTAAACAACCGATTGCGCGTTTTGTTCAATTCAATAAAAAAATCAACGTTTTAAAATAATAAATCATTAAATAATCAAAAACGTTTTTAAGTACTAAAACCATTCATATTGTTAGATATTTAATTTAACAACTTTAAAATAAAAAATAAATAAAACAAAATTAAGAAATAAATAAACTGAAGAAACGTTTCAAAATAGAGGAACAAAACGCGAAGGTAGTTTATTATGTTTTTTAATATCAGGGCCATCTAGCGTGACCAGGTCAAAATAAAATGACAATGCATTAGCTAAATGACAATCCATTAGCTAAATCAATAGAGCTGACGGCGCGTATGGGCCATAGATGGCGTTGACTTGATAAACAATAGCTGTGTTAAAGTCTATTAGTTGTGTATTTTTCTTTTAAAAAATGTGTTGATTGAGAGAAAATATTCATTTTTATCATGAAATATTTTAGTTTTTACTTGTAATTACGTAACTACGGCTTAAATTGCCAATTTCGCTTACTTAATATCCAACAGGCTATCCATGGCGGCATCTATGATTATTTTTTTGTACTAAAAATATTTTGTGTGAGTTGGGACCCCATGACTATAGTGTAGTTTTTTCGCATGTATTTAAAAACGTCGTCTGATACACGTGCGGACTTGTCATTTTCACGAGTCTCGAGTTTTGACCCTCGCCTCTGGCTCGGGCCAAGAAGCCTCGGGACTCGTGAATATATTATTATATATTTCGTACGTGCATATATATGTGGGGTGGTGGCTCGAAATAAAAACAAATTCACGGGGAAACT